GAGGGCGGTTAACGGCCGCGCGTTTGAAAAGCGCCCGGGGCTCTGCGCTGCGGAGGGGAGCGGGGCTGGAGAGGGGAGGAAGATCCTAGTTTTTTGGAGCGGGCTCAAAAGTTAAAGTGATTCAAGTTTAGAAAAAAATAAAAGGGGCTTTAAGATAAATAAAGTTGTTGAAAATTTGAGAGGCTTTTAATGTTTCGTTCTTCTTGTTGTTGCTAGGTTTAAGGTCTGCGCATGCAGCCCTGTCTGAGGAACCTGTGCAATACAATTTCTGTAGGTTCCTTCCCATATTATTACCCCTCAGCCTGGACCAGCCTTCCCTGCCCTTCTCACAGACACTTGCAAACTTCGAACAGAATATCAAGCCACAGTATACACTGAGGTCTCATTAGCTATCCTGGCTGGCAGGGTACAAAAAGATTAGAAACAGCCTGTGAGGCCTTGTTATTATTATTGAAGAAAAAGCAGATCTAATAGTTTTCATATATTGTCACTTGCATGTGGCGAATGGTGACCTGTGCTATTTGTAATCTATCACTGTCATCCTTAAGGCAGGGCTTTGTTATTTCATTGCCTAAGTCAGAGAGGTGTAATGCCACTTGATGCTCTTAAAACAGAGGTACTGGAGGCTTACCTATGCCTGAACTTTATAACATTTCTTTTGTTTAGGAGAAGACGGATGTGGAAGGAACACTGTTTGTTTACACGAGGTAAGCGTCTTATATTTAAATGTCTGAACATGAAAGCTGTGGATGAGGAGAACCTAGCTAATTTGCCCAAATCTCAGACTCACAGAATGGTTGAGGTTGGAAGGGACCTCTAGAGATCATCTAGTCCAACCGCCTGCTCCAGCAGGGACACCCAGAGCACGTGGCACAGGGTGGCATCCAGGCGGGTTTGGAAGATCTCCAGAGAAGGAGACTCCACAGCCTCTCTGGGCAGCCTGTTCCAGGGCTCTGTCACCCTCACAGCAAAGTTCTTCCTCACATGGAGATGAAATGAAGCAACAGGCTCAAATCCTGTCATATTCCAAGGTGAAAAGAAATTGAAAACAGAAAAACAGACTTTACTGAAAAAGAGGCATCACCCAGAATGTAGATAAGACTTCAAAATGTAGTCTGAAATGCAATATGGATGAATCAGAAAAATGCGTGACATTGTTTAAAATAAAATTTAACATTTGTCCTTTAAAAAGTGTCTGAAAAAGCAGTATAATAAATTATGATGTTCACTAAGATTTGAGAATGGCAGGACTTCTTTTTTTTTCCTTTTTTTTTCCTGGATAGGAGAACATTCATGCTATTTTCATCTGACTGCTAATTTTCTGTGCATCATTCCTCCACAATTCTGGATGTTTTTAGTGTTTTTGTTATGCAGTGCCATGGATTGTGGAGTATTTTTTATAATTCCTATGCTTAGGTGTCTTACTTTTGCAGGGTCTTTTTTCACTTACACCTCAATATTTTTATTTAAGAATAGGTCTGTTGAGGAGATGAAAAATTCTTGTGAAGTTCAGAGACCTTACAAACAGAATGCTTTTCAGAGCATCTATCAGATTATCTGTTCTAATATTCCACGCGCTAGATGTGTTGTAAAGCCTGCTTTGCAGTCCAACAGAGTTTCCAAGGTAGGGTTCCAGCATTTTTGTGTGACTAATGTTGAAAGCAGTTAACAGATCTTGCTGTAGTTGCTGGAAGGGACACTTGAAGCAGATAAACAGACTTTCTCCTTCAACTTTTGCACTTTAGAGGATTCAGTAGGATCACTGAGAAAGCAAGGGATTCTTTTAGGTGGGCAAGAGTTGCATATATGAAATGAAAAACTGACATGGAGGAGGCCCAGGGGAATTTGAATATTGTGAGGTGGAAATGCTGATTTTAATCTTTTAAGCTCTTTCCTACCAAGAGCAGGAATTACTAGTAGTGATTTTTTCAACCTCTTTTATGTAAGTGAAGAGGAACAAAAAGATGAGATGAAATGCTATAAAAATTACCATTGCAAGGTGAAAGAACTGGTCCTTGTTTGTGCTAGCAACACCATGCGATGCCTAGCTGTGTCCTGTACCACAGAAGTATTATTTCTCTGGGATGCTGGGTTTATATGTCTGGAACTGACAACCTGTAGGTCTGGCACTTCTAGCACCTATTTTCATTCTTTTTTCTCCTGCAGAGAAGGGAAGCTGAGGAAGTTTCCATTTTCATCAAAAATTTCTACCCTTGTTGTCCTACAGAGAACAGTACTGACAGGTTATGAGCTGTGGGAGGCATCGTACATTGACCTCCCCATCAATTTCAGTTTTAACTTTTAATTTTATGTGGCTTTGAAGAAAGTCATAAATTCCTGTAGGTAAAACGTTGCCAACAGACCATAGGTTGGAGACAACTGATACTGTCTCTTGCATTCTTATTACCATTGTGATCGAGCTTTATTTGAGCTGATTTATGTATCTCCTATCCCATCTTTGAGAACTCTCAAGAAGTTTCAAAAATGGGACTGCCCACTGTGTTGGCACCAGTGGAAGTCGACTATTTAAAAACAAGAAAGGGAAATGAGAGTGAAAAATTGACTGTTGCAAATAAGTATTCTTCTTAAGATTTCCATCTTGTGTTTAATTTTCTGTTGCCTACCATCCTGTAGTGCGGGTTCCTGGGCTTTGGATTTCATAGAGACATTCACCCACCAGTGATTACCGGAGCTGGATCTTTTCCCAAACATTTAGCCATTATCTTGTCATTTAGTATCAAACTCAGTTTGAAAGTAATATCGCCTGTCAGATTGCTGACAGGGTTAACAGCTCACGTTAATGGAAATTATCTAAAACTGACTTAGACATATAACCCTTGTGAAGCAGCCTAATAAGATTTGTGTTTTTTTGCTTTGGATGGTATCGAAAATCCCATCTGGATTGATTGTTATCCTATGTACTTGTTACCTGAGTATTAAACCACAGACTGTGCTCTGGCCCATGAGCGTATCTTTCTGATTGCTGTTTACAACTGCAGCAAGAAACCATAGTTTGGTTGAGTGCTAGTGTCTGGGATGAAGTGTCATTTGGTAATATATTGTCTGTTCAGAAGTTGTAACCCTTATAATTCAGTGTAAAACCTGGGCATCCATATATGATTAGTACAGTGTGTGCGTAAAATGATGTGACTAAACCATTGGGCCTCCAGTGATAGTGTCTCAGATGTTGCATCCTCCTTGCAGTTATTGTGAACTGTGGTGCTTTGGACATTTCTCACGCAGAATGTTTTGAAATAATTAGAAGGATTATATAGAAGACTGCAAGATTTGACTCTTATTTCCTTGACAACCAAATTAGATTGCTGAAATATCTGTTAAAAAAGAAAAACAATATTGGAGAACTATACAAAAAAAAATTACAGTCATTTCTGATTTTCTTTGACCTGATATTTCTACTTGGTAATTTTCAGATCAGCTTCTCCAAGGCATGGCTTCACAATTATGAACAGGCTGAGCATGGAAAATCGAACAGAACCAATTACTAAAGACCTCGATTTCCAGCTGCAGGATCCTTTTCTGCTTTACAGAAATGCCAGATGTAAGTGCCTGGGTTATGTTGGGTTAAATATTTAAACAGTCAGCTCTTCTTCAGAGCCTCTTTTCTGTTTAAGACAGTCTAAGTCATTAGATTACAGTTTTCAAGAGCCGAAACTATTTGCTTAATGGTTGTAGTTGAAAAAATACCTTTTTTTTTTTGTTTGTTTGACATGCTGAAAGAGAGGAGTGTCTCAGCGATTCCGAAAATACCACTTTTCTCTAGAAAGCATTTAAACATGCTTAACATGTAATCTTTCCCTTAATTGACAAATAGTAGATTTTTATGGTAAAGTGTATGTGAGGGGTGTAGATATTCATACAGATAGTGTTTGTGTTTTGAGTATACTTCAGTCAGTGTTTCTTGTCATAAGGAAAATCCACTGAAGGTTGGAGCAATCTTGGTACCTGATCTTGTGTTCTGCTTCAAGATAGGCAAACAGAGCCAACTGAAAACCTGCTTCTGCTCCAGGTCCAATATACTGTTCTTGCAGCAAGTTGGAGAAAGGGTCCTTTACTCTTAAGGGTAACTGACCTAAAAATAGTGCTAATACAGAGTTGAGCCTCCTTTAAACCCTGATGATAGACAAAGCTAGTCCTTTGGCTCTGTGCTTGTCTTAATTAATTATCAGACTTCTATGTAACAATTGGCAAATGTCAGGCAAACTCAGAAATGCGTGGAAGACAGGAAAATGCTGTACATAAAAATATACACAGAATCATTGCGGCATGCAATTATATGTGAATAAGTGCTTATAAATATACAGTTTATATTTTACTTGGAAGTAGAGCTGTAGTGTGATCTGTACTCTGTGCTTGGTGCATAAAAGCAGATTTCAAAAATTCTAATGTGACCTGACCTGTGATCTGGAGTGTTCCCTCTGAACAAAGTAAATGTTGAGGAAAGTCCTGGCATCCAAAGCACTGCAGTTGGGTGACTTTTATTTCCTAAACTCAATATGATATATGAAAATATACCGAGAGGGAGTTCTGTTGCTCATATGTGCCATGTGGCAGAAATAGTAGTGGTCAATATTTTAAATAGACTAAATGAAAATTCTATTTCTGAAAATATTTGAGATGCTGAAGAGGAGATAAAGTTCCCCCTTTAAAATTCCTAGATAATCTGAAAAGAAATACACCTCCAGGCTAGACTAAACTAGGCACAAGGATTTTAGGCAGCATTAAGTCGTGCATTTAAGCACCACAAGACCCATTTATCCCATCTGATTCTGATCAGTTTCTCGTACAAATATATATATATATGTATAAATGTATATATATATATATATATATGTATATATATATATATACATATATATATATATGTATAAATCTCATTTTAAATTCCCAGTAGGAATTTGTATATGCATATACCAATATTTGCCTTTTGAAGTTAAAGCTTTAAATTTTTTATTTTTGTTGAGGCGCATGAAGAATAAATAGAGAGAACTTGTTTATTATAACTCTCTGTGCTGACATAGTAGAACTAAGATAGTCTTTAGCCTGAACATCACATATAAACTGAGCTATTTTTTATAGCAGAGAAGGTTGCTTACTTGGTTTTTGAGGTATACACAGCTCCCTAAGAGATGTCAGAAATTAGATTTTTAGAAAAAATCCAGGTTTCTCGATTATTCTTTCTAAATAATTGTTCATGTATGACAGGATTTCCATCTGGCAACTCAAAGCTGGATTTTTTTTTTTTTTTTGAAAAATCCACTGCCAGTCAGCCTCTGCAAAGTTAGAACAGTGTGTTGGTACCTATCTATCTGCTGCTTTTTGGTGCAGAAGAATTTTACTGAACCCTTCTGTGTTCAATTTTAAGACCTTTCATGCAAAATAGACCAGCCACTTAAACACACCAAGGGGTTCCTTTCCATGGATCAGTTAATACTCCTTTCTGCCAGTAGATTGGCCATTCTGTGCTAGGAGGCACGACCTCAAAGGAAAATTCAGTGTACATTAAAGAACAAATCCAACAAGCCTATCAGACAAACTAAGGGAATGCAAGCAGGGAAGGTGAAAGATTGTCTTCAGAGATGACCTACACTGACAATTTGCCAGCATGAGTAGGAAAGTAACATTTTTTCTTTGACCTTAGAATCTCTCAACCACAAGAACTAGTGTCTTTTTAGCCTCATGATACTCTTTGCTCTGTGATTCAGTTGAGGATAAGCATGAACAAGATAATGCCAAAACCTCAGCTACTGCACATCTAGTTTTCTGAAGTTGTCTTCAGCCATAGTTTTGGTGATTCTATTTTTTTTACAGTTAACTGCTGCATCTGACCGTGGAGAAATCTATTCCTGTTACTTTGAATGTTTCATTATGTGAGACAAGATTCATGTTTGTTTTACTAAAAATCCACTGTTTTCAGGTATCAGATAGTAACAGCTGTGTTCCATGTGTATGGATGCATGTTAATCCTGGTTATTTATCTTTCTAAAATGGTCTTGAAAAGGTTTTATCATTAGTTCTCCAAGAAAGCTGAAGCTGTTGATACTTCAGAAGATTTTTTTTCCTCAGACTTTCATGTCTTCAAAACAAACTGAGTTTATAGACCCGTAGAGGAAAGTTATTTACCACTTTGTTTGACCCTTCCAGGTTTCCTTATGTTATCCAGGTAGTTTACCTGGTATTTTCTCCACTAAGATGCAGCTAACTTCAGTCATTTCCTCCCATATCATATATTTCAAAGTTTTTACTATATAAAATAAGTAACTTCCTCTCCATTAAATATCTGTCTTCACTAAGGTCTCATCAGACCTGAATGAAAATATACCTTGAAATTTTGTGATAAATATTTTCATTTTTGTTTGCTTTATTTTACAACTTTCTGTTTATCTTTTTTGTTAAACTGAGGCTTCAGGTTTTTTCCTGATTAAATGTATCTTTCATCCAAAGCCTGTTCTTTTTAGGCATCAATATTATGATATCATTTTTATTTCCACCTTCTGGATACTAATAGAGGACTATTTGGTAATAGTTGTTTACCTGGCTCAAGCTTGGGCAGTTTGAAAGTATTTTGGAAGCAGGTTGCCTTTTCTAATCTTTGTTCGAATTGGTTACTTCTATCTTGTCGTAGAAATCTTTTTAAATATGACATAACTAGCCCTGTTTCCTCTGTGTTTTAATTTGTATAGCTCTTTTCTCATATAAGATTTGTATTTGATTTTTGTAAAAATATTAAATTTCAGAAAGAAAAAGCATACAAAATGAATCATCCAGAAGAATAAGCAAGTCCTTTGTTTGTTGCAGAATTATGAACGTTTGTTGAACCTGGTTTTATTTCAGTAAAACTGAGTATCTACTGCTGGTTGTATCACACAATTGAAAATAACTGCTCTTGGCAACAAAAGGGTGTTACTTTTGCACTGGAGAAGTCCCCAGAATTTTGTCATATTTTAGAAACACTGCTTTGCACCCACTGTATGACTGCAATAGAAAAGGCTTTCCAAAATGATCTGTTATAAAACTAAAGTTTATGAAAACTTAAAAAGGGAGCATTTTGATCTTTTTATTTTATTGGGTTTTATATAAATTCTCTTTTTCCATATGATCTTGTTTTGTCTTCGTCGTCTAATGCCTGTTGTCTAAAAACATCGGTGCAGGCACCTACAGTCTAATCCCAGGACTTTTCTGGCTGGATTTGGGAGCCCTGCCAGTTAATGTTTGCACTGATCCATTATTTAACAGAGAAGTTTGTATCTGTTAAGGTAAGGCTAGAACTAGGGTTACTCATCCAAAAGCCAGAAGGGAGGCTCAGATTACAGTATTTGATGCCAACAGAAATCTTCTTGTAAGTACACCAAGAAACAAAAGGTTTATAGGTCAAATAAGTATTTTCAATATGACACTTATTTATGTAGTTAACTGTGGTTTCAGATTCTTCATCTTTCTGAAAGGAAATAAAGGCAGTGGTTTTGATTTTTGCTGTTGTTGCTTAGATAATCTAATGATTTTAGTTTTAAAAAGAAATTCCTGGCTTATATATTTGACTAATCTTAAATTAATAATAACTTCTTTTTCTCCTAATCTTTGGTGGTATTTATTGTGGAAACCGATGTGTGGAACCTGTTACTCTAGAAATCATCCTGGTTAATATGAGATAGCACTAAAGAAATGCATAAATGTAATTATTGGCTAAAATAATATCAGTTTCTCCTTTTAGCAGTGATCAACTATATAACAATCTGGTCGCCACCGCTCCTGAAGTGTGTTGTACCAGTTGTATACACATCTATGCTGGCTTAGAGAATTATTTCTTGAGTTCACTGATTTCTCATCTTATCACTGCTTACTGGGATATTATAGAACAGGGAGAACTTAAGGAAATCTCAAGAGCTCTGTTCACCTTTAGAGTTCTGGCTGGCAGAAAGAACTTCAAGGCGATTGTACCTTGCAAGAAGTTGGTATGCCACCTGGGACCCAAAATCTGATACAAGTTACTTGGGTGTTTTCCTGCTGTAGCCTCTGGAGGAAGAAACTGAGTGACGGTTCAACAGATATTCTGTATCTCACTAGCCACTCTACCCATTTGGGCACAGATGGTTATTTTTCATGTGTGTGTTGCTTAGCAAAGCCTTTGGTGGAGTCATCTCCTAGGATGGGAACCAAACGTGGTTTCTTAGCCAGGGCCGGTGTGTTGGACTGGCTGAACTTGGGTTTGGGGAATGTACGCAGACAGAGCAGCCAGGCCTGCCTTTGGTGAAACTGCGTAGGGACACACAGGCAGACAGACAGACAGGGCCTCAAGGTAATTCCAGCTGTCGGTTTAACTAGCCACCATATGTCTGTCAGAACCCTGTGAGTTTAATATCACTTTCTCAGATTCCCATACTGCCAAGATTTGCCGTAGATACGGGAAGTTTGGCAGTTGTCCACAGGAGATACCTCAGTTACCTCTCCTCCCACCACCAACCTCATGGTTATTTTTTCTCTATGTCATAATTATTGAAGGAGGAAAATTGAAAATTTTCCTGAAAGTCGGTTAGGGGCAGG